ATTTCCGTTCCATCCTCAAGGAAAACTTTTATGTTCTCTGCCTCTATTCCAAGTTTTGCTTTTCCTGGGCAAAGAAATTTTTTAAAAGCCAATGATATCCATATTAAAGATCTTTTAAAACTTTTGTTTCTGCTTTTGGATAATAAGTTAATTAATAAGAAAAGGCTTCAAAAGCAATTTATTCAGCTCAAATAATTTACCTGCTTTTCTTCAACCAGTCCACAATTGCCTGAATTTCAAATTGACAGGAAACAATGTGCGATTTTCCAACGTCGCGGCCATTCCAGATCAGTTCATTCTCGTTCAGCCATCTGATGACTGTCCACGGAGTTTCGAAATTATACCTATCGAATTTTACCAACCAAATGCAAAAAGCCCTATAAAAGAATGCGTAGGAAGCACGAAGTTGTATGGATCGAATTTCGCGTTGGCTGATCTGGCACGTGACTGAAAGCATGCGTGATCGGAATATAAAAACTTTTCATAAACCCCTTTTCATAGCTTTTTGGTCAATGTATCGAAATCCAAACAGAAGGGAAGTTATAGAAAAGTTATGCTCACTTTGATATCAAGCCAAAGAGCGCAAAAAAATGCATAGTTTAAGCTTTAAGTGTCGTTTCTAGCTGTCGATAGGTCAAGCCAGGTCAAGTGTTTATGAAGAATTCGCGAATAAGATGGTATCGGTGCATTAGATGCATTTTAAAGCATATTATAATTACAAATCTACATAATATCAGTGAAAATATGCCTACCTTTGTTCACCAAACTCTTCAAGTCATCGGCTATGACCGCTTTTTTTACGCCTCGATATTTAACTTTGCAAAACATCGTCACGGTACGAAGCGATGAAAATGTATGCGGAATCATGCGGAATTAGTATGCGGCGCGAAATTGAAAACCGCTGACCATAAAGTGACTGCCCCGCTTATCCCCCGGTCCGGGAGGCAAAGACCGTGACTTTTAGCGTATCCCCCGACTACCGGGGAACCAATATTTGGTGAACATGAAGTGAATGTCCCCGCAATACCCCGGTCATCCCCGAGGGGGGTCCGGGGGTTTCAAATGACTGGTGCATAATATTTAATATTTATATTGCACATTCTTTACAAAAATAATCAAATGCGCATTACAAACATTAATATAAATACAAAAATAATAACCTATTTATAATCACTATGGAATCAAAGGTGAAAACTGCACTATTTACAATCGGATATAAGAAAAGTAATTTGCAGAAAAACTATATAATATCTAAATATAAACTAATTGTACTAACAAAATGCCTTGCTAAATAAACATGTCTTAAGTTTCTGTTTAAAATCACTTGGTGCTAGCAGATCTAATGCTTATGGGAAGACTGTTCCAAAGCCGTATCCCCATGGTAACTTTTGTGAAACGCTTTGGGGTGCTCAGAAGAATTCCCGTTTATTTCGCCGTAAATGTTAACGAGATGGCAGTAAAACAAATTAAATCAATGAAATATTTAGGAGCTGAGCCCTGGAGTACTTTAAAGGTGATCAAAAGGATTCTAAACTCGATACATAGGCAGATAGGTAACCAGTGAAGTTGTTGAAGGAGCGGCATAATATGACAGTGTTTAGGTGCGCAGAAGATCAATTGCGCACTGGCATGTGTGACATATTGGAGTTTTTGCATGTGATGGTCGGGAACTCCATAGAGGAGACTGTTGCAATAGTCTAACCTACTGGTTATAAATGCATGAATCAGTTTCTCGGTATATTCCATTGGTCAGCATGTGGATCTATAACTGGATAGCAACCACTTTCTCTGTAAGCTTAGAAGTTAACTGTAAGTTGCTTATTGGGAGGAAGTTCTTGTTTACCAGTTCGAGTCCAGGTTTCTCAAGCAATCGATGCATCAAGGCATTTTTCCACTCATCAGCAAACCGACCAGTCTTAAGTGATAAATTAATCATCTTTGTGATGACAGGGAGTCGATGGCCCAGATGTATACACAGTATAGAAGATGGAAGTGGATCAAAGTCACACGATTTCTTACAGGCTAATGCCAAATTCTTAACATGCTCAGTGAGTAGCGCAATTCAGAGAAAGAAAGGTCAGTTATTTCCAAGGTGGTAGTATAATCAGATTTCTGGGCAACACGGAGAGGTGGCAGAGTGGTATTACTTAGTTTTGTTTTTCTATAAGTTTTATGATAATTTGAGACTGCTGCTGCTGCATTGCGGTTAACATCTGCTGAAAATTTTTTGTTCTTGTTGCTGTTTAGTTTGCTGCAGCATGACCTACATCAAACCCTGATGTTGCTTTTTGGAATGCCCCTCCTTCTTACTCTGAGCCTCTAGTTGCTGCCTCTGTAGCTGCATTTCTTCCAGTTTCCATTTCTGCATGAGGTGGTTTTTGTCTTGCAAATATACCACAGTGTCACCTCCACTTCTTCGACGTTTTGTTCTTTTCTGCTGTTTCATTCTCTTCCTCATCTTTCCTTTGTCTTTTCTGTGTCCCGCCAAGGTTCTCTAGAG